GTATGAATCTCTGAAACATGATCTGTTTGATCGACTAGTTGTCACCCTATGGACAATCTAGATAGTAAGGAGGAAAGCCATTTATGAGGATATTTTTCAATCACCCCAATCAGTTGACAGCTTCATATCGAACTACTTGGGTGAGTTGCGGTTCATTAATGCTAAAACAACAACAGAGCCTACACCTGCAGTTCGAAGATCTTCGAGCTGGGTAGCACCGACGGCTGGCAATGCCAAAATCAATGTCGATGCAGTTGTTTCCAGGAGAGGATGTGGCTCAGTTGGCGTTATTTGCAAGGATCAAGATAGAGGGTTTTTGGGAGCATCTTCGCTCTGTTTTCCGAATATTACAGATCCTCCAACTCTTGAGGCCCTAGCCATCAGGGAATCTCTTGCTTTGGCAGATGACTTATATCTCAGACGAATTTAAGTCGCCTCAGATTGCAAGCCTGTGGTTGAAAGCTTACACAAGGAATCACAAGGAAAATTGGGCAAGCTATGGCGCAATAATACATGAAATACTAGATCACTCTGTAGCTTTTGAATTTTGCAATTTTAGTCATGAGTTTAGGAGCACTAATTATGAAGCTCACAACATAGCGAAGCATGCGTTATCTCTCGGTGGTGGCCACCATGTTTGGTTAGGCAACCCCGGGAATTTACCATCCATCCCTGTAAACATTGTGACGAGTTAATAAAGCTTCGCAACGTTGTCTAAAAAAAACCAATAGCACGCAAAGATGCTAGTGGAGAAAAGAAGGTCCTGCAACGCCTAACCATTGCCTCCATCAGCCTGCTGGGAGGGCGAGATCTGGCCGCAGGCCCGACCACTTCAAGCACCTTATCGCTGGGACGCTCAAACCACCGCACACCCTCCTTCACGACCTATAGGCGCGCCAATCCGTGAGAATCAGCGCCTAATCACAGATCCGGCCTGCAGCCAACGAAATAGGTGCCCCGGACCGGATTTGACCCTGCATCCCTCTCGTACAGCCTAGCCGCCTGCATCACGCCGCCACTGGGCTACGACCTCCGTCCACCCGCCCACGCCACCGCTAAGCCAGGCAGCTACTCACGCCGGTGACGCGCATGCACCTCATCTCGTCAGCATGGGAAGTCCAGGCCTACGTAGCGCAGCCCGTGCATCCACGCCACCCGAGGAGGCCAGAGTCACTGCAACAAGCGCTCGCCACGCGCCCACGCCTGCGCCAAGGCAGCAGGAACCAGATGCCCCGCCGCCGCCCTCCTTTGGACCGGACCCAGCTCCGCCGCAGGAGGCCGGGGAGGAGGTAGGGGAAGGAAGGATCGGCTATGGTTCTCCCCCGAGCCGCCAGGGAGGCGATGCGGGCGTCGCAAGTTGGAAAGCCCTTTTCGCCTTGTTTTGTTATGATTTTGCGTTGACAAAGAGTTGTATGCAGGCGCAACGCGTGGAATTCCTCAGTGGGTGGGGTGCGGTCAGTCATGGTAAATTGCTAATTGTACACATAGCTCGGGATTAAATTAATTCTAACCATTAAATTTTATTCAGTGAGGCTAATCTGACGATGGTAATTAGGTTGGATACATCTGCGGGGTGGTTTTAAAAAAGAATTAGTTTGATTGTTTAATAGTAAGTATAAATATAAATACACGCGCGTGAATGGGCGAACTCGAGTAGCCCGCGAAGGCGAGCCTTCTTCTAGCTTAGCTAACCAACACAGCCATAGCCAATTGTGCTTTGATTGCCGCTAACAGCAGATGAAGTAGTATGGCCGCGCTATTTAATCATCACCTTGTTCTTTGATTTATTTCTAAAAAATTCGTGAATTTGATAACGCTCATCAATTTTGATACAAAAGTTCACAAACTTCTAAAAAGTTTATCAGTTTGGAGAAATAGTTTATCATTTTTCAATACAAAGTTCATAAACTTAAAGAAGTTCACCGATTTTGGAAAGAATTATGAAAAAGTTCATCGTTTCCGAAAGAAGTTCATCGGTTTTGAAAAAAGTTCATCGATTTTGAAAAAAGTTCAAAATTTTGACAAGAAAAATTCATCAATCTTGAAAAACGTTCATCGGATTTGGAAAAAGTTCATCAAATCAAAAAAGTTCATCGAATTTGGAGAAAGTTCATCAAATTTGAAAAACAATTCATCAAGGTTTAGAAAAAAGTTCATCGATTTTTGACAAAAAGTTCATCGAGTTTGAAAAAATAGTTCATCGATTTTGATAAAAGTTCAAAAATTTGAAGGAACAATTCATCAATCTTGAAAAAAGTTCATCGGATTTGGAATATTTTTTTATCAAATTTGACAAAAGTTCATTGAATTAGAAAAAAATCGTGCATTAAAAAAATGAACAGAAAAAGATAAAAGAACAAAACGAACTTAAAAACTAAATAAATGAAGGTTCAGAAGTGTATTTGAACAAGTGGGACTGTGGCGTGATGGTTAGTGTGTAACCCTAGCAGTGAAGGGGTCACGGGTTCGATCCCATCTTCCTACGCACTTTTTAGGTCTCTGGAAATAGAAAAACAATTATAAATGGGCCGAGCCCAGTGAACGTGGCTGCAGGCGCCCGTTTGCAGAATACACATTAACGGGCGCCTGCAGCGCCAAATAGGAAATGTCGTGGAAAGAATACGGCAGGTAAGGAGGTTTTAATCAAATCTGTGGCTCAATCAATACCAGTGTTCTTCATGTCCTGTTTTAAACTTCCTAGGGGATTATGTGAGCATCTCAACATGCTCATTAGAAGGTTCTGGTGGGGAAGCAAAGAAGGCAAAAGAAAGCCTCATTGGGTATCGTGGAAAAGCATGATGCAACCGAAGGGAATGGGAGGCCTAGGTTTTAAAGATTTTGAACTCTTCAATATGGTGATGTTGGCGCGACAGGCATGGAGACTGCTCCAAGCACCAGAATCCCTGAGTGCCCGCTTGTTGAAGAGCATATATTTCCCTGGAACCATCATCCTGGAGGCGACTTTGGGCAACCATCCAAGTCAGATATGGCGAGCCATTATCAAAGGTAGGGATACACTTAAGCAAGGCCTCATCCGCCGAATTGCTAATGGCCAATCTGCTCGCATTTGGGAGGACCCGTGGCTGCCAAGAGATGAGATGCTACGACCATATGGGAGCATTCACCCTAATCCACCGATCATGGTTGCGGAGCTCATCGACCACACAAGCGCTACGTGGAATAGTCAGCTAATCAACCAAGTGTTTATGCCTATGGATGCAAGCATCATTTTGGGGATCCCAGTGTGCACCCGCAACCTTCAGGATTTTTAGAGCTGGAATTTTGAAACAAGTGGAAACTTCACTGTCAAATCAGCTTATCGTATGCTAGTAGCAACAAGACAGCGACTGGAGGCATGTCTTGAAGGTACGACTGGTACCTCAAATACTGCAGTCGAGGAAGAAGCATGGAAAACATTGTGGAGGACCCAGGTTCTGGCAAAGGTGAGGATGTTTCTCTGGCGCTTATCGAAGCATTCTCTGCCTACGGAGGACGTCCGGGCTAATCGACACATGGCTGATAATGCTCAATGCGGATTGTGCGGTTCTCCTGGTTCATGAAGACATTCTCTGGTAAACTGCACTAGTTCAAGATGTGTGTGGGCACTAGTTGATGAGGAACTAGCACAAAGCCTGGTATTGAACACAGAACCCAACGCCAAGCAGTGGCTTTTCACCTTCATGCAGTCACTCGCTCATGATCAATTTGTTTTGCTGGCGGTCACACTCTGGGCGATATGGACTGCACGTCGCAAGGCTATTCATGAAGGAATTTTTCCAATCGCCTCAAGCAACTAATTCGTTTGTCAGGCGATTCATTGATGAACTCAATATGATCACCATGAGAAGCCCGACGAGGACAAGTGGAGCTCCAGCAACGGGGCAGACACGGGCGATTCGTCCCAAGGCTCCCCCTGCTGGTTTTGCCAAGATCCAGGTAGATGCTGGAGTGAGAGCGAGGAAGGGTGGATCGGCTGCGGCAGTATGCAGGGATGGGCAAGGCAATTACCTTGGTAGTTCAGCGTTGGTGGTAGCTAGCCTAGAGGACCCAGCAATTCTTGAATCAATTGCTTGCCGGGAGGCGTTGGCGCTGGCGGAAGATCTTAACATCCACAACTTTGTCATTGCATCTGACTCCAAACAAATGGTAGCTAATATTTCATGTGGTGACAAAGGAAGGAGTGGTTCTATCATACAGGAGATTAATATTAGAGCTTTTATGTTTCAATGTAATTTTTGTTTTGAAGGTCGTGCGGCTAATGTCGACGCACACAAACTAGCCAAATACTCACTTAGTCTCGGTCCGGGGCGCCATCTCTGGTTAGGCCAACCCCATGATGCGAGTTGTATTCCACCCTTTGTAGTCTTTGATGAATAAAATTTAGCTTTCCCCTAAAAAAAAGCACAAAGCTCTACAGTCTTTAATTCGGAGCACCCGGAATTACGGACGGACGCATTTGGTATGATTGCCGAGCCGTGCGTGTCCCTTTTGCGTGGTCGTCGTGCCGAGGCATACGTGCACGCAGGGGACTCCTCAGCTTTGGTTTACCCCTCCCCTCGGTCCCACGTGTAAACCAACCTCCGCTTCCCTCCAAAACAGGGGTCAACTTTAGCACAACAACACGAGGCGCAAACATATACAGTACTGCACGTATTTCTGAGCCTCTACATGCAGTAGAATTGTAGATACATCTGGGTTACTGCTACTACTAGACGTATCCCTCCCTCCTGACCCATGACTGAATCTGAGCTTGACACAAATATCCCACTAGAAAAAGTTGAAATGCAACAACGGAGAGTTGAAACCTCTTTGCTGGAAACTCTTGGAAGAAACCGGCCGGCGTGTAGGGCCTACCCGGACGGACCCTGTTGCCCTTACTTGCAAGAATGCTCAACTCTGCTCCATGCCCTCGTGGAGCTCGTTTACTTATTGGCACAGCCGGCGATCGAGCAGGGGGAACTCGCAGCTCCCAACTCTGACAAAGATCTGTCGAGCAGAGGATGACTTCGCCGAGCCTCACGACGTGCCGGCATGCTGCAGCTCGTCCGCGTGCAAGCAGGGTCACTGGCCGCAGCGGCGTCAGGGCGGCGCCGCTCCGATCAAGATCAGGAAATGGTTTTGCTCCGAGCGTCTCGTGGTCGTCGCCGTCGCCGTCGAGAGCGATCACCAGTTGCGCTCTGAAGCCGCCGCCATCGTACGGCGGCAAGGCGACGGAGAAGAAGAAGGTCAACCCCAGGGATCTCTTCACCTTCTCCTACCGGTTCAACACCGACATCCCCATGGGTGAGACTCCAGGGGTAAGTCGTCGCTGCTAGTGTTATTTGTGCTAATATAATTGGGAGGTGATCTGAGCTGAGGCTCGGTTCTTTCTTTGCTCAGGCGTCCATCGACGACTACCTCATGAACAGGCCGAGGATCGTCGGGGCCGTGTTCCCGGACAAGCGCAAGCGCACCAAACTCAACGACGTGAGTGATCTTCACCATTTCCTTCCTTCCAAAGTTTTCGTTTCTGAAGCTGCACGGCAACTCTGACGGAGGTAGCTCCGTGGTGATCGATGGATGGATGTTGAATTTTGACAGGAGGAGTGGAGAGTGCAGCTGGTGCCGATCCAGTTCCTGTTCCTGTCGGCGTGCCCGGTGATCGCCGTCCGCTTCGTGAGCAGGTCCGGCGGGGTGGGGTACCCGCCCCACGTCCCCGTGCACGCCACCAGCCTCCTCCTCATGGAAGTGGTAACCACTTTCGCGCACCACCACCATCACTTTTAATTTTCTCCATCGTCATCGTCAGCCTGAACTCATGGCTGATGCAAATGCAATGGATGGATATGAGTTGCAGACGGACTACAAGCTGAAGGGGCTGCAGAGGGACGCGATGCCGTCGCACCTGGCGCTGACGGTGCGGGGCTCGCTGTACCCGCAGCCGGAGGGGCGGAGGAGCCTGCGGGGCCACGTGGAGATGAGCGTGGGGTTCAACCTGCCGCCGGTGCTGGCGCTCGTGCCGGAGCCCATCATCCGGGGCGTCGGCGACACCGTGCTCCGGCAGCTCGCGGAGCAGATGAAGCACGACTTCGATACCGGCCTCGCCGCCGACTTCAAGAAGTACCGCACCGAGAAGCTCACCGAGGGGAGGACCCCCGAATACTGAACCACATTTTCCTTCTCTTTTTTCTGGTGGCGTTGGCTGCTGCCCGGTAACAGTAACTATTCATGGAAGATTCTTTCGAACTTGTCGCACGACCAATTATAAGTTGCTAATGTATCGTGCTATTCGTCAGTGCGTCGACATGACTGACAAGATAGTAACTTAGGATCCAATAGTTGTAAATACTGTAAATTATGGGCATACAAGAATATTCAGCTATACAGAGACTGCTAATCTCAGGATAACTTCTGTGTCTACTGTCAGACTCGGCCTCATTCCTTCCTGGCTAATACTATCTGGCTAGCCAACTTATTTCTTAGTATGCGTACCATGAGGCTGACAAGCCAACTTCACATCAATTAACTTTTCTGAACCATTAATCTCAGTCATCACTTTCTTTCATGTCGCCAGGAAAGTCGCAGCATCAGTAAATTGTACTAACTCTACCCCACAATATAAGATCGTTTTTCAAGCTATTTAGCCGGACCGAGTATACTGTAATCAGTACGATGATAGGACTGAGAATATAGTAGTGGTAACTTAAAATCTCATTTATTCACTGTAAACAATGTAAATAATTACAAGAATATTCAGTTTTACAGAGATTGCTAATCTCAAGCTAAATATGTACTCGGTCAGACTTGACTTCCACTCTATCTTGGCTATCATTGAATCTATATACCAGTTATTTTTCACCCATTTTTCGTGTGGCTTGAATCATCTATGTACCATTTAGTATATAGGGCATAGGGCCTGTGCTTCAACAGCTAGAAGAATACAATTGACATATCTACACCGTGTGTCCCAAAGATCCTCCTAGTCTTCCAGTGACCGGTTTCTCGCCCTCAGGTCACGCTCGAGGCTTTGAGGCGTTGGAGGCGTCCTTCCACGCCGGAAAAGGACAGCGAGAGCTTTCATTTGACGGCACATGTTGAAAACCTACAGACAAGGACATGTATGATCAGTCGTCAACCAAACAATGGTACTTGCGAAGGTCGTGTCGCTTGTTTTTCTTACTGATGAAGCCTCTAGCTCTGCAATTCCCTCACATCCTTGACCACCGCCCTGTAGAAGGTCACAGTACTTTGCAGCATCGTCCTCGTCTTCAAACACCTGAAACAAAAGAGCTCATGATTCAGAAGATTACAAAGCAAACGGTTATGTGATTTTTTTTGCAGAAAGCTGGTCAAGAGAGTGGCAGTAAGTAGAAACACATGCACAAACATTTTACAAGTACCAACAGAAGAGCACACCATTCGGATTACACGTTAAGCGGTTTGCAAATTAGAACCATCCAATACACCTCAACAGCCTCATGTGTTCTTTGTTTCTTGCTCAGTGATACTGATATCACATCAGGATTTTATAATTTAAAATGCAAACATTTATCGGTATGCTAAGCTTACCGCACTGATAGATTGCTCATTCTTTTTCGTAAGTTGAATGATGTTGAACTGTTCATATGGTCATATCATAACGCTTATAGTCCCTGTATGTTTGCCTGATGGCAAGCACAAACTGTTCATAGGATGACTTTTAGTCACGTAAAAAGAACCAATTCTGCTGTATAGTCCATTTTCAGACATCTCAAGTTTGTACTACCCTCTTGGTCCTTCAAACAGTTCACTACGGTATATCACTAGGGAGCCTTACAGTCTATAACAATATGCATAACCCACCCTTGTTCAGAATATATATGCTTCATTTGACCATTCCCTGTTCCTGATTCATTGCCCCCATTTACTTATTTAGAAGTCATATTTCCCCATGAACCCAAAATATGCACTAGAAGGCCAAAGGGCTTAAAAAAGAGCAGGACAGTTTGCTGACTTTCAAGGACATGTTGAAAAAAAACTCATTTTACTAATTACTCACCAGTACTCCCTCTGTGAGATCTTCAACAACCATACTAAACTTGGAGCCAGAGTACTTTGATTTAGTCCCAACTCCTGAACCTCCTCCCCTTGAGAAAAGCATTCCAAGTTCCCTTTCGACTTCACTGCAGAAAATATTATGGGATGACACCATGTTCATAATGATCAGTTAACCACCCAGTCATGACCAACTACCTGTTTAGCTGAAAATTTCTCACCTGCGGTTCCTACGGGTTTTCATTGTCCATAGTTGATTGTCTCTTCTAGCCAGCACATAGACTGGTTTTGGGTGTTGTTCTCTCCATGGGTTTGTCTCCAACACTGAACCATCATAACGACATGGCACAGTTAGTAAACATTCAAACTTCCGCATCACAAGAATTACTTGGATAATCATAAGAACAGGGTGACTTTTTATGGCTTTAACATTATGGTATTATTTGTGACTTGTGACTTGTGAGCATGCGCGCATCATAACCCTGGCCTTCGTTTGCAGCACTACAGAAAGTAGCATAAGCACACCATAGCAGATATGTTGATTCAACATGTGATGCAAAGGCAATACAAAATTTCACTATCCAAGTCAAAACATGAGGAAACAGACTGTGATTGCAACAGTTAATAATCGCGTGTACACATGTGTAAGTATCCATAGTCGCTCACTCCCAGTCTCACTACCACCTCAAAATCTTAAAGCAGCAACTCTCGAAACGCGATAGGCATGAGCGTACAAGCCTCAAACAGGAGTTGCTTTTGCTAACCTTAAGTTCACCGAGGCACGCAATTCTACCGTATACACAAAGATCGCACCCACTTCTCTGGAGTTTAGACTAGACATTTCATCAAACACTAGGCGCGAGGACCTAAACTCTCGAAAGATGATAGTCGTGAGCGTACAAGCCTCAAACATGTGTTGCTTTTGCTGACCTTAAGTTCATCTTGTCACGCAATTCTACCGTACAAACAAAGATCGTACTCAGGACTCGGGAGTTTAGACTAGGCATTTCATCAAACACTAGACGTGGGGACCTAAACCTGCCGATCACCATTCACCAACCATAGAAGATAGATCCAATTGAAGTCGCTAAAGCTGAACCCTAAGCAGATCAAGCCAGTAAGAACACGATCCAGGGCAAGGGTCATGGTCTGGACTCCGAAGGACTCATACCGTCGTAGGCGAGGGAGTCGAGCGACTCCATGAGGTGGCGGCGCATGCCGTAGGCGCGGGAGGAGACGCGGCGCAGCAGCTCGCCGGAGGTCCCGGGGATGCCGCCGTCCATCCCCATGGCCCTCTCCACCTCCTCGTCCCCTCCTTCCGGGGACGGCGGCGGAGGGGGAGGGGGCCTGGACGAGGCCGCGGCCACGACCGCGCGGCGGTGCGTGGCGGCGAGGCGCGGCCGCGGGGCGGGGAAGGAGAGGAGGTTGCTGGCCAAGGTGGTGGCCGCCGGCGACGGCGTCGGCGCGGGCGAGAGGGACGGCAGGGAGGCTGCCATTTTTTACGGTCTACCGAAGCAGAGGAATGCGAGGGAAGTTGGAGTGAAACAGGGGAAGGAAGGGGTGTGGGAAGTGGAGCGTGGACACGGCACGGCAGCTACGGTCTCCTTGTGTTGTGGAGATTTTTTCTACCGCGGTCGCGGTGGGCGGTGGATGTGTCCGGCACGTTGGTTCGGCCGGGCCGGTGCCGTGCCACGACTCACGACCGGCACCGGCGGTGCGATGGGGGCTAACAGTCCTGCGGTCCGAGTTGGCGTTGGACCAGGTTTTTGGTTGGACGTGCGCGGGGAAGCTTTGCCATTCGGTGGTGTTTAACCGGAGCATTTTTCATGGAAAGCGTGTACACGCTACATTTGCTTTCCCGGTACACAATTTCTTTTTTTAAGGGAAATAGTTGTTTTTTTATCTATATCTATATCTATATCTATACTACTATATAGTATACGAGTAACTTATAATATGGACCGTTAGATAGTTTCAATCGAGCGGCTGGCATTGGTTTGCTCAAGCCTTGAATCGTTGTGGTGCAATATATCCCGTTGGATCTGAAAATCGAACGGCTGTTACTCCAAGGATTCGCGCTGGTGCAGTTCTATACTATATATATTATTATTATTATTATACTATATAGTATACGAGTAACTAATAATATGGACCGTTAGATAGTTTCAATCGAGCGGCTGACATTGGTTTGCTCAAGCCTTGAATCGTTGTGGTGCAATATATACCGTTGGATCTGAAAATCGAACGGCTGTTACTCCAAGGATTCGCGCTGGTGCAGCCTGTCTCCTGCAAGCGCACATGGCAGCTGCCAGGGTGATCTGATCATGTAAAATATGGGACCATCTCTGCACCTTCCAGTGAACTCCACAGGATTCTTTTTTTTATTTCTTTTACATCTACTCCTGTAAAATGAAAGGAAGTCCTGCTCGGTAGAAACCTCCAGAAAACAATCGACCTCAAATGCTTTAAGTCTCCATGATACAAACGGAAAGTTATTAGACTACATAATAAAAAATTAAATACCTATCTTTGTTCGCCGCAAAAAGAACATCCTGCTGGTCCACCTGCCAATATATTTTTGCGTTTTTCTGGACAATATATTCTCCTAAAGTAAATATTTTTTCTTCTCTTACATTTATTAGCGTTCTATATTTAGAGCAATATGTGCACATAGTTAAATATGTATTATTTTCACCAAAAAAAATTTACATTTCATATCTTCCAAACTACGTACATCATATGGACATAATATGAATACATGATTTTTTGTGTTGTCAAAATCAATAATTGAATAGATATGATACAATAATTTTATTAAGGAAAACACGTGTCTTAGTAAAATGTCCAACACATATTTGAGAACCTCCGACAATACTTTATGATCGTTTTCATGTTTATTAGGTTCAAGATAGTGAGTTGTGACTATTTTAATATTTAAGAAAAAAATCTCTATATATTGTTAATATACCCTTCACGTGGTCTGTCATATGGGCCTAACATAAGGATCAACGATACATGGTGGAAATCTTTAATGGTTCATTTTGGGGTTTTATCGACACAGTGCACTAATTGGGTAAAGGGCATGTGAAAAAATGTAGATAAGACTACAAGAAAAATAATAACAACTCCTTC